TGTGATCAAGTTGCTTCGCAAGAACAAAAACGGTGGATCAGCCTAAGGCTTTCGATTGGGTTGACTATCGATTTCTGGAAGCTGTCCTTTCCACCGCTGGTTTCGGTCCGTACTTTCGCACTTGGATCCGGCATCTGTATGCGTCCTCCAGTTCGCTGCTAGAAGTGAATGGTGTAAAATCGAAACCTTTCATTTTGTCTCACTCCATTCGTCAAGATTGTCCGCTTTCGCCTTTGCTGTACTTTCTTGCGTTAGAGCCCTTCCTACGTAAGTTGAAGACGAATCCGGCCCTTCGCGGAATTTCTTTACTTGCTGCTAGCACCTCGGCCAGGTATTCCGCCTATACTGACGACGTTTCGGTTCTTGTGTCGAGCAGAGCCGAAAGTGACGAAGTCTGCAAAGAAATCAGAGGGTATGAGACGGTGACAGTGGCCAGGATCACCCGCAATAAGTCTGTCAGCTTGCGGTTGGGTTCGTGGAAGGGATTTTCTCTTCCCGGATCTTTCCTCTGAATGGACGGTATTCGGTGTTATACGGTAGTTTCCCTTTTTTCCTCTTCTCCCGTGATTGGTTAGATGGGCTCCTATGCCTCTTTTGTAGATTTGTCGGAGGAGGAGATTAGGAAGGAGCGGAGTGGGCACCTTTCTAAGGGGGACATATGCAATGGGGTTGGTGTTGGTGACATAGTTACTGCGGGAGTTACGTTTCTGTTTAATGGGAAAGATGGAGCAGATGCTGAAGGCCACAGTACCCTCACTGTATGTACGCTTGTCTTCGCGGATCTGGAGGACAGGCTTTGTGTCGTGAACGCTACCATAAAAGATCAGGCATTTTGTCTCATTGTGGTTTATGCGCCCAATGACTCCAGGGAGCGGGCTGACTTTCTTCGGTGGATCGATCCGTTTCTGACAACATCTTGTCGGGTAATTTTAGTGGGTGACTGGAATGCAGTCCCCGATCCCGATATAGATCGCACGGGGACTAGATCGGTTACTAATAACCCTGATGTAAAGCCATTTCGGGAATTTATCGACAGTTTAGACATTGATAAGTTCCGGAATGAATTTCTTCAGGAAGTAGTTTGGACTTGGACGCAGCTCGGCTTCGGTGTTGCATACAAGCTACATTGACAGTGTCTTTATTAAGAGATTCAACTTAGGGTTTTAAGGCAGAAGCGAGACAAGACTTCGGGTATCGATGGAATTCCGTATGAGGTGTACTTGAGGGAGTCACATGTTTGTTCCTCTGCTGCACTGGTCTTTAGCCGATGGAAGAAGAACAGGAGTATTCCCGAACGCTTCACCAGATGTATGATCAAGTTGCTTCGCAAGAATAAATATGGAAGGGATGGGATTAATAATTTCCGACCCTTAATTATGTTGAATACAGAGTTAAAGATTTTGGCCAAGATCTTAGCCAACCGTTTGCAGGCTGTCCTGCCTAGTCTGATTGACCCCGAGCAGCTTGCGCTGTAAAGAGTAGGACTATTCAGGACAAAATTCATCTAGCACGCTTGATCTTAGAACAAGTTGACAGTGAAGCCGCGCTGATCAATTTAGATCAGTTCAAAGCATTTGATAGGGTTGACCATCGATTTTTCGGGGCTGTTCTCGAGTCCACCGGCTTTGAGCCATACTTCCGATCCTGGATCCGACCTCCAGTTGGAGAAAAATTAGTTGGAGGTCCTAGAAAAGGCCGAGTCAGCAGCTCGTTTGTGGACTCGGAGGAGGCTTTCCTAAAAGTTTGTGCCTCGCACATCTACCCCATCCTTCTTTACCTGATCTCGATATTTCCACTCCCGTCCACCGAGCTAATTTTATTGGTTCGGGTCTTGTTCTTCTTGCAGGTCTTTTGCGGTGTGTCGGCCTGTCTGTTGCCTCCACCCGTCTGATGGCGGTCTAGGGATGCCCGACGTTGAGATTTGTCAAAAGACGTTGAGGCTCAAGTTCTTGGATCGAATGTCAGCAAGATGAGGGTAACGGCCTCTTCTGGAAGACACTAAGAAAGCTTTTTTGGCTTTGTGTATGAAGGCGAGAAGGAGGCCCGTCGTACTCCTCGAGCCTAGTGCTCCTTCTATCGCGAGTGTCGCCTCGCTCTGAAAGACACGGGTCGCTTGAGATACTCTAAGGAATGAGCTCGTTTTGACGAAGGAGGAGTTTAGCTCTCTGCATTGGTTGTTCAGGTGACGGTGTCTCAAAAACGACGAGACATCACTCACCTGGCTGGTGTTGCGGAATGCCTCCTGGATCGGCAAAAGACTCTCTGCTGCGGAGTTGGCAGTTACGCCAAAGTGCGTGCGTTGCGGTGGGGCGGTTGAATACGTAGCGTCGTACGGCTGTTGTGCGAACTGATTGAAGGTTACATGGTTCGGATCCTGGGCGGAAAGTTCTTTGTCCCCGAGGCCAGGTTCGTTTGCAGCAATGCTGTGCCGCAGTTGAAGTGGAATGAACACTATATGCTCTTGTGTTTACTTGGCATTATGTGAGTCGTGATTTGGACGACGTGACAGAAGGAATTTTATGGAGGTGAGAAGTTTTCCTCTTCTCAACTGCTTTTGTCTTTTAAGCATCCGCTTAAAATCAAAATTAGAGCGGAAAGGAGGCGACTCTCTTCACCAAAAAAGAAAGGTGGTTGAGTGTTTCGCGTTTGGTTCGCTTGAGAGGGGCTAATTTAGAGTGGCATCTGGAGGTGACATAGGATAAAGGATATTGGTCGCCTGGTTCAAACATTTGTTATTTAGAGTTAGGCTATTGTAAGTAGTTTTGTCTTTCTTCATGTTGCTGGATTTAATTTAGCTAGGGTATGGATGATCATTGGCCCCTTTATTTTATTCCCACAAATTTTGGTTCATTCCCCTTAGGTGACAGAGATTGCAGTTCTCTGGTTAAACTGTGGCATGTCTTTCCTTTTCGAGTGTGAAATTTCGTTATTGTTATCATATTTAAATGTGTGAGTGCTAGAGCGAGTGATTACAGAAAGGATGCATGGAAATCATTTTATTAATCAAGCAGTATAGTTTCATCTAGTTAACTGTTATCTCTGCCATAATTAGACTGTGAGGGACTGTTACTAACACTAGTTTTGTTTAGTTATGTGCATAGTTTTATTTCATGAACATTGGGGATTTATAGTTTCAAAAAATTTTATCAACCCAGCACTCCACAAAAATTGTACATATGGGGAGTAGGTAGGATTTCTTAGAGTGAATGTGGCATGGTGGTGGATGTGTATGACAATGATGTGTGAATGAGATGTTTTGGTGGAAGAAACAATGTTTGGATGATTGGGTCAGTAAATGAGGCTAGCTAAGTTAGAGATAAGACAGATGAAGTCCTTCTCCCATTAAAAATCTTGAAATGCTCCCTCCTTCAAAAAGACACAGAAGCCCTTCATTAGAGGCAAAAGATAAAAGGAAAAAGACAAGTAAATATATATACAATTTAGGGGAGGATGCCTATCGCATTTCACCGGCCCAGGAAACAGGATAAAAAGCCTTAGATATCTCTTGTCAGTCAATCAGTACGGCGATAAAATGTAGAAGACCCGCAAAACTTTTCGGACACATAGAGAATATCGACAGTCATAAGAACTGGGAGGGGGGGGGTGCTTTAGGCGTGGGCAATGTTAGACGAGGCCATCATCTCTTTCAAAATGTCACCCCAAATTGCCTTCGTAGAAAATGTATATTTGAAAAAATTAAAAAATGTTTTGTGCAGGGAGGGTCCCAGTTTTAGTTCACCCTTCCCTCTATAGAACATTAAAACTGATCTATCCCTGGGATATTGGCGGTCTCTCCTATGACGGTACCATCAAGACTGGGATGAGCTAAGTATCAATGGCGGGGGGGGGAGGAGGCTGTTGGTATCCTTACCCCAACTATATTCAAGCCAGTGTCCCAACCCTAATCGGTTTGATGTCGGTTAGACATTAAGGATATTGGGATTGCTGATTTGAACAATGGTAACCCCGCCCGTAAGAGGTTAGACTAGGTTGATTTTTCTTTCGTTACTTTCTCTTTAGCCAAGTTAACTTAGCTAGGGTATGTATGCACATTGGCTCACTTATCTGGTAGATGCGGGACGCCTTTTGTTATTCGTGTGTGCTTTTTCGTATTTGTTATTGCGTATGGGTGAGGGTGTGTTTCTGTGTGTGTTAAGGCGTATGAATCTTTTTATTATTATTTCAGTTTAGCATTAATTTCGTCCTGTTAACTGATGTCTCTGCCGTATTTAGTGATTGTGTGTGGGCGGGCGGTTATTGCTAATAAGGTTTTGTTTGGTTTCTTGTAAATAATTTTTGCTTTTCATTGTAAATATTCATTTGGGTTATAAATTTTCAAATATTGTTTTTTTTTATTCCCCACCCCTCACAGACAAAAATTGTAAATATAGGATCTAGTTAGGACTTCATAGAGTCTCTGTGGTATTGTGGTGGTTGTAGTAAGAATTGGTAAGTAAGAATGTGGCGTTTTGGTGCAAGGGTTATTGTAGCATGTCTGGGTCAGTGTTTGTGGCTAGCTAAGTTTAATTTTAAGACAAGCGAAGATCACCCCCCACTTCCCCATTTTAAGTATGGTACCACATTTGTGCAATAAATATTTTCCATTTGGGAATCACTTGCGATTCACCTTGATTCACTTCTAGCTCACCCCTAACAGTTGATTACTTACAACACGCCGCTGGCGAATCTTGCATGTTGTTTCTGTTATAAATATTATTGTTCCATTTCCAACCTTCGTTTTGGTTATTCTTATTCAGTAACCTTTTTCTAGGTTACAATATGCATCCACTGCAGTATTATGTTGTACGTCAGTATTATGTAAGAAGGCCTCCAGGTCTTCCACGCCATATGATTTTGCTTATATTTCCTGGATCCTTGAATGATCAAAAGTATCTGGAACTACCGCAGGATAAACTAGATATTCACATGTACATACCTGGTTGCAGGTTGATACCCAATATCACAGAACAAGGAAAGTGCAAACAGATTAAGGTCATTACGTTGGAATAGCCTAGTAACAGCCCTGACATCAATCCCAGAGATAATTACTGGGATTACATCAGCCAATGCCAAGGCGCAGAGTCTCAGAGCCAGCATGTTCTGTTGTATTGAAGCGGTTATCAAAGAGAAATGTAGCTATACAAAATACTAGTTTATATTGGAATTAATACAAAATAAACTACTTTTAATAAATTTGATGCATTGAACTAGGTACTACCGTTAATTTTTCTGCTATGGAAATATTTGTTCTTTTTTGTTAAAAATTGTTGAACGGTCTTTTGGCCAAGACGTTATGTGTTTGATGCTCGCGTACACTTATGCATCCCATACACCGAGAGTGCACTTATGCATCCCATACACCGAAGGTGCACTTATGCATCCCATACACCGAGGGTGCACTTATGCATCCCATACACCGAGGGTGCACTTATGCATCCCATACACCGAGGGTTCACGGTAAAATATTCTTTCGTAAGTAAAAGTGCCGTTTTTTTCATTAGCATAAAATGCTGAAAATGAACTGAACTACATAATAAAATATAATCCTAAAACAAGCAAAAAATGCAGTGGTTCACAATTTGATGTTTTTTTTCACAAGTCAGAAATTTCATTTTACAAAAGCATCGATGATGTCAAACAAGAATTTGTATATAAATTAGTTTGGAGTAATTTCCTAGTCGTCGTTGTTGTTGTTATTGAGGTATCACATCATTCATTCAATCGACCAAGCAGGAATATTAATAGTTTGTGGGATCCACTTATCAGGGGGGGATACAAGTTATAAATTTGAGTTGCTGGAAGCAGTGACCCAAGTGTTCAACGCTGGCGAAGTTTAACGGGCTCAGCGAAAGATTCATGTATTCAGCACATTTGTCAGAATTGTATTCAGCACATTTGTCAGAATTGTATTCAGCACATTTGTTTATGGCCCAATCAACAACTAACTCTAAGAACTTAGTAGAATTAAATACTTCAAATTTTCAAATGCACCATTTGTAGGGAGCAAAAATACGATTAGACATTAGAACTGATATGGTTCTACGATAGTCAACTGAAACGTGGTTTTTTAGCTTCCGTCATAGTAACGACGTGCAACAAGAATAATAAAAACCGATGAACGGCTGTTTATAAATGCCTATTTTAACGGAATGCGAAAAACAAATAATTTTTGGCGATAGTAAGACACAAATAAAATTTATATACATTTACATAAGTTGGAAAAAGACTGTATGTAGATAATAAGCGTTTGTCATTAAAAGTATCAAAAGACATCAAAGTCTGTTTTCGTACAAATACCTTTATGTGTCTAGGAAATGTTTGTTATTTGAAATATAAATGTGTTAGTGATAAATTTAAATACAATGTATGTATTTAAATTTATCAACACTCGGCGCCAAAATCGAGTCCTCTGTCAAAACGCGGCGTAGGAAAGCCAACCTTGAGGCATGGCGATAACTCACCAGGTGTGGCAATCCCAGCCCCCCATAACACGCACGCTGGTAACAGGCTTCTTTACAGACCCAATGCTTGCGACCACCCTACAAGAGAGTGATCAACAAACGCTCGACCGCCTCCATACGTTACCAGCAAAAAGAAAGTACTGCCAAGCGGTAAAGGATGAGGGGCAAGACGTAAGTAGCACACGCCTCAGCCCTACCATTGAAGTACAATCCCTTTCGAAGCCAAGTCCGAACCGTCGCTTCGACTTTTGCCTGTACTTCTGACCAATTCTTCTTCAGCCGGGGTCCGGATCCGAACCACACACTAAGGATGCGGATGGGTCTATCAGTCCAGCCGAAGGGCCCCGGAAGCGCGACCCCCTTCCAGTCACCTAACCGCAAGCCGGAAGACTTGTTGCGGTTAATCTTGGTCCCAGTCACATTCTCGTACCGCTGCGGCACCACACTAAGATGGATACGTCATCGGCGTACACAGAAACCCTAGCTCGAGTACTACCAGGGAAAACGGCGATTCCGCGTAGGTCCGGACTGCACGCCCCGTCCCTCAGCCGGCAAAGGAAGGGCTCCAACGCCAAAGCTTAAAGTAAGGGCGACAGTGGGCATCACTGTCGGACCGACCAAGTCAGCGCAAAAGCGCTCGAGCGCATTCCATTTACCAGGACCAAAGCACTGGGGGAGCGATATAGGAGGCAGAAGACGGGTTCGAATCCGGCGGCCTGCAGGACAGCAGCCAGGTACTGATGGTCAACCCTGTCAAATCCCTTGGACTGATCCAAATTGATCAGCGCGGCTCATCTTTTACACCCTCTTATGATCGTGCGGATCAGATGCAGGTTCATTTGAATTGTTTGTCCCCTCACAGCCCAAATCTGCTCAGGTCTCAACAAGCTCGCGACAACAGATTTGCGGCCTCTCCGTCAGGATCTTGGCCAAAATCTTTAACTCTGTGTTTAGCAGAGTTATGGGCCTGTAATCGTCTAAATCCCGCCCAATACCATTGCCATTCTTCAACAGCGTGATTACACCCCTGGAAATCCGGTTGGGGACGGACCCTTGCCGGAACCAGTTGTTGAAAACCACTGTCAAAATCGGGACAAAGATGTGCGACAGCCTCAAGTACATTTCGTAGGGCTGACCATCAAGTCCCGGAGACTTGCCTCTGCCGACCTTCTTCAATGCCTAGTAGACTTCGCCGTCCGTGATCTCACTCTCGCAGCTAGCCGCTTCAGTCGGCGAAAGCCGAGGAAAGTCAGCTAAATAGATGCAAAACTCGTCGGCTCCTTGGTAAAACGGCTCTCGAAATGCCGCGGAAACGCCTCGCACATGTCCTCGATCGACCTCAGAGAACGCCACTCCGGGGTAATGACCTCGCGAATGTATCGATCGGAACCTCGACGGATCTCTTCCTTGCGCAATTCTGCGCCCATGTTCACGGCTTCGTTAGACATTTTGTTTAACCTATGTCTAACTACCTGACCCTGGTAGCGCTTGCTAGCCTCACGCTTCAGGGCCTGCCTAGTTACGGTTATCTCTAGGGAATCTCCTCAGCCACCGTCCGAGACAGACTAGAGCCTTCACCTGTTTAGCCTTATCTAGATCGAGTCGTTGGCTGTATTCAGTGGTGAAGGACCTAATCTTATGCTTAAGCCTCTCCCACCATCTACTCCTAATAACCGCCCCCCACTAGTTCCCACTGCACTAATCTAGTCAGCTGTTGCTGAAGGCTCGCTTGTCCAGTAAGGACAGATTGAACTTCCAGTGTCCAGCCATTCTAGGCCTAGCGCCTAACACCATCCGGGCACAGACGAGTCTATGATCCGAATAGTCTAACCGGTGGAACGTGAGACAATCTAGTAAATCTAGGTCGACCCTTCTCACTAACATTCTGTTCAGGAAGCTGGCTACGCGGAGAAACGGTCAACTAAGGGCCCACGTCCACATCTCCCTCGGATGATCGACCCGGTATCTATCGACAACCTTAAAGTCGCCGATCAGATCAACCAGGCTACGATCGCCCGATGCCTTCCCGCTAGCACCCCGCCTCCTATCTGTCATTAAGACTAAGCGCGAATAATCAACCAGGAACGGCCGCAACCGACGAAAAAGTCGACACGCTCACTCTGGTCGTTGGGCGCATAAACCGCAACGACCCGAAACGAACCATTGCTCACGGCAATATCAGCCACGATCAACCGCCCCCACACCCCGCGTCGGCATGAACAAGGTTCACTCTTGCATCCAGGGAACGTTGAACTAACAAGCCTGCTGGTCTCCGTATGCTGAATAGACAACAAATTCGCTAGACAAGCACATGAACATCAACGTCACAAACAAAGTGTGTTTCCTGGATCGCAGCTACATCTACGCCAAAGGACAAGAAACAAACGGGCAGCCTTACCCCGATCTCTTAAGCCTCTTACATTCAGGCTGGCTAGCTTGATAGACATAATTTAAGCGTGAGCCCCTAAACGCAGACTGGACGGAAATGTGCGGGTTTCAGACCCCGACGTCTTGTCCCAGATTTCCTGTGCATATGTCGGATGTAATTCGTCCTTCCACGACAATGCCGCCGACGTCTGTAGGGTAGGTTAATTTTAGTGTCCTATATAATCAGGGATGGAGAATAACCGGTTCCCTCTCTGCGCACATTTGCGACATTTTTCGTAGCTCCGGAGAGCCAAGTTGCACCATTTTTATATTAGGGAACGCGTCCCTGGCCTACGCTAAGTGATCCCAAACTTTCAGATTTCCCCCCGTGTTCCTGATGAAAGTCGTCACACCAGGTGCTTTTGGAAAGTTTCGAGGGTCCTCTATTGACTTGCCATACACGGAGGTGCATTTAATTAGATGTCTTAGTAGGGCCTTCTTTTGCACTGAGAGGTCTTTTTTCAGAGCCCTTCTGTCCATCTGGCAACAAGCCACCCCCTTAGGGAAAGTTTTCTTTTTCTTGGGAGGGGTTTTTCTTTTTCCACTGAAGCGGAGGATACTATGGGGGAGTGAGATTGCAAAACTTTAGTGGGGGAAGGGGGAGGCTCATAGTCCTATTTTCCCTTAGTTGTCGAGGCGGGAAGTAAATGGTACCTGGGGTAATCTCTGAAACTTTCCATCCTGCTATGATCAGACTTTTCTTTTTCAAAACTTTCTCCTCTTCCTCCTCGTCATCAAATCATCGTCCCTTCCCCTTTTCAAAGAAGAAGATCTAGGTTGAGACATGACCTATATCCAGTAGCTGGTGCTCAGTCTGCATTTGTACATCTACCTCTAGTTGTTGCTGGTATTATTGTTGTTCCAGTGGCTGTGCCTTTTGTTGCTGTACCTCTTGGTGTTGCTGTGTCTCTTTATCCTGCTGCCGGGCCTGTTGCTGCATCTGTTGTTGTTGTTGCTGCTGCTGCTGCTGCTGAGAAGGCTTCTACTTCGGGCTTTGTTGTTTACGCCCCGGTGAGACTTCCTGCTGGGGAGATGGAGGAGGGGTTGCTGCTTTGTGTCCCTTCCTGGTCACCTGCTGCCCTTCACTGTCATTCTTAGGGGTTTGGCCCACAGCTTCCTTTACTGCTGCCTGTTGTTGAACTGTTGGCTGTTGGTTGTTGAACTTTTGGCTGTTTGGCTGCCAACTGTTGCTCAGTTGGTGGCGCCGGGTTCTTGCCAGGGCATTCCTTAGACATATGCCCCGCGGCCCCACATGACAAACAATGGGGCCACCGGCCTTGCACAACTATAAATATTTTTCTTCCATCGAACTGATATATATTTTTTCTTCCATCGAACTGATATCGGGGATGTCATTGAAAGTTTTCCTAGTTAGAATCACATGTACGATAACATCCACGGTGGATGTACCTGTTTTGTCTTTCACAGGCGTGACGTCGGCAACCTGTCCATATTGGGCAAAAA